TTTGTTTGCAAAATGTGAGGCATTAAGATCACTATAGTAAAATTGAGATCCTTAGTGATACTCATGTCTAAATTTTGAACAAATTCTAATTTTTATTTCTTCTTTTCTAATCATTTTAGAGGTCACCCTCCAGCCTGCCCCAGCAATCACTTACCGTACCATTGGGGGCATTCTTGACTTCTATGTGTTCCTGGGAAACACACCAGAGCAAGTTGTTCAAGAATATCTAGAGGTAAACTTATGATGCTGTGACTGTGACAGGAAGCCTACATTGCAAGTATTCAAGAAAAGTAAATTTAATATGCAAGTGTGACCATAGAAATCTACTATCATGAATTTGTAATAACAAAAAGCAGATTCCATTAAAGAATAAATTTGAGACTTTAAAGTTTATATGCTAATTTGGATTATAGAATTTTTAGGTTATAAAAAGGAGAAAATATAAAGATTCCCAAAACATGGCCTTTCCCTTAATGATTTTTAAAGGGGGTAGAAAAATAGACTAATATGCTGACAGAAATGAAATCAGTGCATTGGAAAATGGGGTATGTTTTGTGCCTCAGAACTAATGCCTAGAGTCAGGTGGTCACTCACCTGTAGTCCTAGATACTTAGGAGGCTCAAGCAGGAGAATTGCTTGAAACCAAGAGTTCAGGGCTAACCCGAGCAATGTAGTGTGACCCTGTCTCAGGAAACAAAAGAACAAACCAATGCTCTGACAAAATTTTATTACGTAAGAATATTGCTAACCTACATCTTTCATATTTCATTCAGCTTATTGGACGGCCAGCTCTACCTTCATACTGGGCACTTGGATTCCACCTCAGCAGGTATGAGTATGGAACCCTAGAAAACATGAAAGAAGTCTGGAACAGAAACCGGGCAGCACAACTCCCTTATGTAAGTGAGGTTTTAAGTGATTCTCCAAAAATCAAGAAATTCCCTGGAGGAATGAATAAGAACAGCTCTTCATACTTTCTCTCCCTGAAGTTTTAGGGCTTTTTTGTAATAAAAAGATTATTATATATTTAGAATACTAGACTTTTTGTTGGACAACCAGTTTTTCAAGGAGACCTAGTTTTTTTGTTTTGTTTTGTTTTTGTTTTTTTGAGTGGGAGGAGTACTTAGAGACTACCATTATGGGTTAGGAGTTTTATCAGAAAAATTTTCTCATACATATGCACTGACTACAGCTTACATGATGTGTTTTAATTTTAGTTCTTAAATTAATTCTCTCTTTATCTTGGGTTATAATATTTTAATACTTCTCAGTATAGATTTTTTTTTTTAACCATAGATATGTTCTTGCTTGGACTGTTTTGATTCAAAAGTTTCATGGCAGGGACTGACCATAAGAATGATATTGTGTCTTCAGAAGTTTCTCTAAGATTCTGGTATAAGCTTGATTCTTATCTCTATGGTCAGGTAATGAATGATGCAGATTCATCATCCCCCATGCCTTGCTGATTAATATGCTTTACATATATATTTTAAGGAAAAATTGAAGGGTAGTAATTTCAGACCCCAAAGATTTAGACAAAAGGGAAGATATCCTGGATGCAGCCCTGAGTTATCTAGATTAGCATCTTTTTTTCATAGATAAGAAACTGAGGCTAAGCTGGGAGTGGGAATAGCTTGACCGAGACCACATAGCCAGATCAAGACACAACTGACACTACATAATTAAATATGATGGGTTTCTGCTCCATCTGTTTCTGCATTCGTATTCTGACTGCTATTGAGTTGGCAGTAAGCAGAATTTGCCCTTCTATGTAATGTGGTCATTTTGTATTTGAAGCAGAGCTTCAAGAGACAGCTTTAAATTGAGTCTAAAAAAGTCCATAAATATAAAATATAAAAGAAAATGCTTGAAAGAGTTGAGATTCAAAAAGCCTGTGACTGGGCCAGGTCGTGGCTCAGTGGTAGGGTGCTTGCCTGGCATGCGTGAGGCACTGGGTTTGATCCCTGATACCACTTTA